GCTACTTATGATACAAAATTGTTAAATCGATTGGATACATATTGTGGACTATCTAACAATTTGTAATTAATTTGGACTACAAATCGGGATATATTTATTATTCCTATAATTAATCATCCTCCATTATTATCACACTGTGCTTTATTATGTTATGTACTGATTTTATAATTTTATCATAAGTGAGTTTTACCACTGTGTTTCTAATTTTGTAATATAAGGCTGTGCATCTAAGGTGTCACAGATATCCCATTTCAGGGCCCTATATAGGCTTGACCTGCAGATAGTCCCAGGAGGAACTCATAAGAGCAGGCATTAGGTTGCTAAAATAGGATATGCCAAGAATGGGGTACATTGAGGTAATATGAGCAGGGCAAGTAGGTAATTGGCCAAGCCAATCACTGTGTGGGTGGTCTTGGGAAGTGATTCCTATGCTAGGGTTAGTGACACCTAGTCTACTTACCAGATGCCACAGGAGATCATTATGGCTGTGCTATCGGAGGAGACTGAAATTATGTTTTTCTGGGACTGAAAACAGTATTCTCACAGCATAGCGTGCAAACTTAAAGAAAGAATGACCAACAATTAGTCAGCAGCAGATGGGAAGAGTAATCCTCACTTTCCCAATAACATCATTCATCAATAATACACCACATGTAATAACATGGTGACATATCTGAAAGTGGCCATGCATGATAAAAAGGCAGTAAGCATTTAGTTTTCTCACTTATTTTCTCTAACATTCTATAAACTGGTTTACACACAGCTTGTGGTAACTACAGAAAAAGTCCTTTGTAGTCAATGTTTCATGGAAAGGACTAACTCAGTAGCAAGATGGCTAAACATTCATTTCCTGTGTATGTGGTTGACTAAAAGACTTTGATGGGCTTGTAGAACAGCATGCACAATCTCAACAGGAAACAACAGTGTCACAAAAGCAATTTTTCGAGTAAAGGTACATTCTAGGAAATCCATATCCATCTAGTATTTTTGACCATTTTGTTATTGTAAAGACAAGGTGAGCTTCTATAGTAGTAGCATATCCTAGTCTGCTAGGTTGCGTGTCCTGTGCATCCTCTCAATTCTCTTCCCACTTTTATATTGCTGATCCACAATGCTTTTAATAGCAGAGACCTCCAATCAATGTTCTCTGTTGGGAAACAGTTAGACAAACAGTGCCAGAATGTAATATAAATATTGATAAACTACATGCACTAGCTAACATTTGAGCAGTTAACATACTATATTTCATTATATATTCAATTTATTTCTCTACACATTTTTCCTTGAAGGATTCTCACACAGGATTTGGTTCATCGCATGATTGAACATTTGCTTATATAATACCCATTGTATTGAAACCTGAATGTATAGGTGACATTTCTTGTGCCGATTTCTGGTGCAAGTTGTAAATGTTTATGAACAGGAACATTTTTGGAGAGTGGTCTTAATTGAGTCAAGTACTGTATATGACATTATCTCTTGTTCCCTAATTGACTGCAAACATGCATACAATACATGGCTTGTTACTATTTTGGAAACATGATTTGTGTTTTTCTTTCACTGCAAATAAATGTCAAATTTCCAGAGAACCCGAGTCTACCGAGGCACTCAAAGTAGACAGAGTTTCATATGGCCTTATCTGTCACTATAATCAGTCCCAGACATTAGAGTTCTAGCAGGTGTGGATACATTTGCTGAACACTGCCAACATAAATTATTTGAGATATTTCAACTTAAAAAACCTTTCAGCGTCACGCTAGATTTTATAGGGTCCCACACTTCACATACCTTAGAATAAGAATTGAGTTATTTGCCCAGTTTCTATAAACATCATCCTTCAAATATAATTGTATTAAAACGTGTAAAGTAAGATTTTCTAAATAGCATATTTTAAATGTTTATATAAAATCACATAAAAGTTGCATTATCATTTACTGAATTCATCTCATTTAGAAATATATCTGCAAAATAACATCTGGCATTCGAATTAACTATATTAAGCAATCACGTCTATTTTTCGGAAAAACAATAGTAATCAACTCTGCACTTCCAAAAGATCAGATAATTAATTTAAAGGGTTAATCCAAGCATCATAACTACTTCAGCCCACAGAAGTGGTTATTTTGCCAGGATTATCTGGTGCTATCCCCCATTAATGGGACAAAACATTTTCCAACAGTTTGCACTCTTACTTGATACCTGCTGTGCGTAATAAGTCTCACAATGGCGACTGAACCACTTAGGGCTTTAGAAGAGCTGCAAAAGATGGATACTGATCCTGTTGCTCATTTATTGGCTCAGAACATCAGTCCTATCATCCACCAACAAATGCTTTATCATGCACAAGATATGCACTGAATGGACACTAGCCAGCCTGGAACTCTTGTTCCTGGTTAGATAATGATGTACTAATGATGCTGTGGAAAGTGGAGTTGCATCTTAAGCAGCAACATTAAATATCTTCCAGCATTAAGTATTTATGCATCTGATTGTTTGACATACAAACTCCAAGCACCATGACCACTTCACATCCCTGAAGTGGTCACGATGCCTGGAGTAACCATTGAAAGTTGAGGGTTGTAAATTAATGAGTCATTATAGGTTGTGTACTGAGCAATAACTTGTTTTTTTCTACTTACTGTAGTAGGATGTCACCCAACTATACATCAATGCTGCATCCGCATAGAGCAAGCATAGGCAACTTTCTGCACTCCAGATGTTTTGGCCTTACCCTCCCATGATGCCTTGCCAGCATTATGGGTGTACGAGCAGTATGGGGGATGTAGTCCAAAACATCTGGAGTGCCAAAGGTTGCCTACCCCTGGCAAAGAGCCTACATTACTCCATATCTAGCAGGCTGCACTTTATATTATTTGTGCATAGGCTCATTTATCTTGCTCCATGGAAGAGTTATGGAAATATTCTACTGTTACACTGAAGCTGTTGTTCTGTTGCATGGGAAAACATAGAAGCTTTTCATATTTAGAGCCAGAATTACTTGGCTCTGGAGGATGTAAGTATTCTGTTTCACTATACTTCTCAAATTCATGTTTAAATTGGTTGCACTATTATTTTCATGTGCATGTTTCCATGTACATTTACTGGAAACTGATATCCATATACATTTATAACTAAGCTATTATCTGGTATTTGAAGCTCTTTCCCGTACCACTCTGCCTTTTTTCTTTTGTTTCAGTTATGCATAATTTAGGAATCTTTAAAGGAATAAAACCTATTTTCACAATCACATACTTTTAGTATTAAGTTTAGTAAAATTATTTATTAAAGGGACACTATAATTACCTAAACAATTTAAATTAATGAAGTATTCTCACTGCACAATTATCTGCCATTTAGGAGTTAAATTACTTTGTTTAAATGGTCCTAGTCATATCTTCCTGCATGTGATTTGCACAACCTTCCTGAATACTTCCTGGAAAGAGATCTAATGTTTAAACTTCCGTTATTGAACAGTCTTTTTAATCTACAATTTCTTATCTACTGCTCTGTTAATAGCCTACCAAACCCTGTAGGTGTATCTGTATGTGATTAAAGTACATTTTGCAGAGCAGGTCATAAAAAAACTTTTAAAGAAAGTTAACTTCTGATTGAAAATGAAACCATTTTGTTCATGTAGGCAGTGTTAGTCACAGCCAGGGGAAGATGTGGCTGGGGCTGCAGAAACAGAAACAAAAGTAATTTAACTCCTAAATAGCAGAGAATTGAAGATTATGTTGGCTTTAGTGTACTAATAATCTTAATTTTAATAATGACAGGAGGCAAGTATTTTGCATAATCTTTCTTTACTAACTCCGATAGCAGCAAAGAAAAGAGTGAAAACTGAGAACCAATCACAATGCAGTATAGGGTATAAGAGGCGTGTCATATTACATCATTTCCTCTTAACTAATGCGACATCACAAGTCCATAATACAGGATAACCATAGAATAAACATGAATAACTTGAACAGGAAACAGGTAGAGATCCAAACTAGGACGTCTTGAGTTCAAACAATGATCTTCAATGACGTAATGATGATGAAACCTTGAACGGAGTCTTTAATAGTCCTTTGTGGTTTCCGATTAAACTGAAAAGAGAATATAAAAGGTATTAGATTCCAAAAATGGTTGTGTAAAAGCAATGAATATCTATCCCTTAAGATTAATGAGTAAAACAATAACGTCCTCCCGTCTAACAGTACTAATTAAATAGCCCACCCACATTGAATATATGCATTAAGTCCTTGATGGGCAAAGGTTAGACACTAATACAGTAAAAGAAGAAACAAATGCTATAGGTATATAAGAAAAAACAGAGGGAGGGAAGAACGAAAAAGAGTGGGGAGGGAAAATACTCGCCTCCTGTCATTATTAAAATTAAGATTATTAGTACACTAAAGCTAACATAATCTTCAATTTTACCACGACAGGAGGCTTCGTATTTTGCAATTGCAACGCTAAAAAATAGAGCAAAAGCTGGATTAGATGGAGGACGGAAGTAGAACGTCCTAAAGGGGGATTCTCTAGTCCAGTCCGCCGCTCACAAGATATCTGGAAGGGAGGCACCTGCCGCGTAGGCGGAAGAGGCCACGGCCCCGCGAATGGAGTGTGCTCCAAAAGCTTGGTCAATCCTGGCAAGGGCTAAGAGCCATCTAACCCATCTGGCCAACGTAGTGACCGAGAATGGACCGTAGGGGCGGACGTAAGAGATGAGAAGTTGACGATTGGAAGTAGGCCGCAACGTCGTGGTAGCTTCCACGTATTGCCGGAGAGTAGAGACCACGCAGAGCTGAGGGTCTGAGGGAAAAAAGGGGTAAAAGACAGAGGAAAAGTTGGACTTAGTGCGTCTAGAGACCTGGAAGGTTATACCTGCTGGGCAAAAGGTAAATGCGTCGGCGTCAAAAGCGCGTACATCGGTCACCCGACGAAAGGAGACCAGGCAGAGCAGGAACCCTCTTGTGGGTTATCCATGGTCGTGGCCACGGAGTCCTGGGGCTCACCCAGGGTCTGTTCCCTTACAAGATAAGGGTCAGAGTTGGCAGCGGAGTCCCAGTCGGATTCCTCTTGGTCGGAGGCTGCCGCCTGCCATTCGTCAACCATGACAAGTGCATGTGTTGGCCCTTCGTCTTCTTCCCCAGAGGAAGCCTGAGCGGGTCTTTGGGCCGAAAGGCTCGTGGCTCTTTTGCATTTAGCAAGGGCCTTTCCTTTGGACTTACGTGGTCCCATGGCTTCACCTTTCCAGTGGCGCTTAGGAGGGTGGGAGCGTTCTCTGGAAGAATCAGAGTCCTCAGAATCCGCCCCATAATGAGCCCGCTTGGGGATAGGCTTAGATGCATCCTGTTCCGACTGGAACGATTTAGCAAAGGCCTTTTCCATAGATGCAGCTACAGCTGCCGCAATCATGTCCTGGAGATCTGAGGAGTTTTGTGATTCTTCCATGGTCTGGAATCAACACTCGGGGCTCACCCGGTGGAATATGCGTGAGGGCACTTGGGCACAAATAACTGGAGAGACCTGGGGACCAGAGGGTGGTATGGTAGTAGGTAATGGTTAACCTGAGAGGATAAGTGACTAGTAGGTCAAGTAAGGTAGTGAGAGGGCTGTGTCACTGGGGCTCACCCAGGAAATCGGAATCCTGCATGGACAGGTCCGTTCAGCAGCACATGAATGGGGGCTCACCCCGGCCAGAATAAGGGATAGTCCAACTGGCTTAAACCAACCTCAAGTGCAAGGCACTAACCTGACCTGGTCCCACTGTGAACTATGAGAAGGAGACAGAGTTCTAGAAGAGTATACCTGGCAGAGAAGTAGCTGGAGTCTGCAATGGATTTAAAATGGCCGCTGGACTGAAAAGCAGTTGAAATGGGGAGGTATAGTACCTCCCCTAGAGCTAGGGCGGCAAAAAAAAGGAATTGCATGAACGCCAGACAGAGCCGGGAACGCGAGCGCCTAATACAAGGCGTTCGCGGGGAAATTGCTGAACGATAAGCGTTTGGCAAACGAAACGTACCTTCGCAAATTAACAGTAATATTAATGCCGTTCGTGAAGCGAAAGGACGTGCGAACAACGGTAAAAGGCTCTAGGGAGGTGTGGTGAAAACGGTGAGAATGCCGGTAAGTCCTCTTGTAAACCAGGTTAGGGGAAAATACAGTAGAAGGGTCCCAGAGCCAGGGGGGCGTCCCTGGTGTGAGGGAGAGGTGTATAGAGAAATAGAGGGGGTTAGCCCCAGAGAAATGGAGGTCAGTAGATTAACAGGAGAAATACAAGCTGGGTAGCAATAGAAATATGATACCAGCTAGAAAATATGATATAAATCACTGTAGGTAAGAAGTTATAAAGGACAGAGAGGAGAACCAAAATCTGTACTTATCTTGTGATGGAGCAGCAAAGAAAGAGGAAATGATGTAATATGACACACCTCTTATACCCTATACTGCATTGTGATTGGTTCTCAGGTTTCACTCTTTTCTTTGCTGCTATGAGAGTTAGTAAAGAAAGATTATGCAAAATACGAAGCCTCCTATTATGTGGTAAAATTGTTCAGTGAGGCATGATCTATGTACCCCAACTGCTATAGTATCCATTTAAAGACAAATAATCCATAATAGTTATATTGAATTTATAAACATTGTGCATTGTAACAGAACAGAATATTAGCCCTACCTTATTTTAAAAGATTTTTTATAGAAATATAAAAGAGCACTTAGAGGTAGCCTCAAAAACGGATATAAAAGCTATATAGAGTATAAATGTATGATACATCGATTGCACAAGTAAAATTTGTTGCAAAGTGATATTGAATTCACAGTAACAATTGCTAAATTGTTCTTGTTTATTTTTAACCAGGCTTAGAGCTGATTTTATTTTTTGTATTTGCATATTTTCTGGTCAATTACAGAAAATCTGCCTACATTTTGATTGACTCAGAATGCCAAGAAGCAAATCAGCTTTGGCTTCAAGTGGTTCACTTAATGTTTGATACTATTTCTGTTATTATCCCTGTCTTTTTTCCTGCTAACCATTTAAAATGGCCAATACTAATAATGTATTTATTATAACAGGTTGAATTGCAGTTATTTTTTAAATATATGTCCAATAATTCTCAGTAATTCTCAATAAATCATAATAAATCATGTGAACTATTTTTAAGCTCCTCGGGGAAAGATAGACATGAATAATTAGTGTAAAACCAAAACACCTTTAACATAAGTAAACATAAAACATAAGTTCTGTGGCACCTAGAGGAAACATTTGTGAGTGTTGGGGATTTAGATTGTTTATGTAATAGAGAACACTCACTCAAAGTTGACAATGGCTGGTGGACATGATAAGCTTGTTTGAGCAGGATCCTCATCAACCTATTGCTCATGTAACATTTTGTTATTGTCTCACCTATTGTTAAATTTCCCCCTTTTATGATATTGTAAAGCACCCTGGAATAAGTTTGCACTATATAAATTCCAATAATAATAATAATAATAATAATAAAATAATAATAATAAAGGTGCTGGTTAACAAGACACAGAGCAGATCGCACACTGTTCTTCTTATTCTAGTAGCTCAGAGGCACCTCCATAGGAGCCCTGTCTCGGGGCTTTGACTATGTCAGCAGTTCCATCAGTGATCAAAAACCAAAAGTACAGATTGGTGCTTGCATGCTTTGCCCCTAACCCTAACCCTAACCACTTGTTTTGCCACTTTTCAAAAATCCGAAGCACTTCGGAACTTCGGCAATTCAGAACTTCGGCAACTCGGTTCGGTTCAGTTCAGCACTTCAAAAATTCGGCACTTTGGAAATTCAGCAATTCGGCAATTCAAACTTCAGACATTAGTAAGCATCCAAATGTACAAATTGCATGAAATTTGTGAACTTTATTTTCACATGTCTAAAATCGAGCATGTTCAGGCTCTCTCAAGTGGTTTTACATAAGTTTGTGACTGTTCAGAAATTGAAAATTCTTCGAATCACCTGATCATTTCAAAGTATGGCAAACTGCAGTTCAGTACAAAACAAATGTCCAAGTCTAATAAGTAAAGAATGTTCATCCATTGTCTGTTTCGCTTCCAATATACGTCCAAATGCTGTTTTTTTAAATCCGCAGATTTCCCAGAATTCAGATGCATTTCAATTAGTTTCTGTCAAGATTACAGAATGATCCAGCACGTAGAATTGTGCAACACAGAGGACTGACAGGTAACGTATACCGGACCTTAGAATGGCCGGACTAACGTACAGAAGAATAGTCAGGAATAGCCAAGGTCAAGGGAAACAGAAAGAGACACAATGATAAGGAAAAGCCAGGAGTCAGGGATGCCAGAAAACAGGGAAGTCAAAAACAAAGCCAAAGTCAAATAACCAGAATTACCAGAATCAATAACGCGCTCTCAGACAACCACAAGGGAAACCACGACAGGGCACTGAGCAGGATTAGAACTGGGCCTAAATAGATCTGATAGGCTGTAACCGGCCTTTGATCCCAAAGGCAGTTACCAGGTTCTCATTTGCATAATTGCTGCTCAGCATTAACCCTACTGTGGATTTGGTTGCTGTTCGGCACAACTTTACCTGTGTGGACAGTAAATGCCATCAACCACATTTATATAAAAGGATGAATATGTGACAGTTTCAAAACTGAATACACAGGTCTATTAACCAAAGCAAGATGACTGCAAGTTATTATTTAAACCAGTACTTGTTAACAGAACATGTTAGGCAAAATAAGAAAAAAAATTACAGCTAAACTAGTATGCCAGATCAAGAAGCTTGGTTTAAAATTAGCGATCTCCTTGTAACTTTCCCAGAAATTCCCCATTTAATTCATAATCCCAATTCCATTAATTGAGTTTATTTTTAAAGTGGCTTTGCTATGTTCAGGGGTATTTACATACTTTGAAAGGACCCCTGCAAGTAATATCCATCCTGATATATGACAACCCAGGTGTGAAGCTAAAGGTAATTATACTTACCGGAAGCTCTCCATCAGATGCTGCCATCTTCTTTCTGCAGCTGCTGTTGCCTTACCTGCCAGGAACTTGCACCATTGCTGAAGCATGGATACCCAGTAATCTCCCATAGACCAAATCACAAAATGCACATGAAGATGCATGTTACCCACAGCTGTTGATAGCAACAGCTGTGGGAATTGTCAAAACTTGATGACAGAAGCTCAGGCTCAAGTTTTGCCATCTTTAGGCTAGAACAAAGGACAACAAGTTTATTGACTAGCGTGCAAATTCAGAGTGAATTTTGAATGTAATGCCTAAGTAGTCAGAATGGGAGCAAAGCTGACAGAAAATGTTTTCACTTCAACTATTTTGCCCTTAAATGTGAAATTTAATTGGAATTCTCACTTTAGTAAATAGCCTTGACAGTAGTACCTATTTTGTATTGTGATCCCTTTTGACATTACAAATCAATTCAGAAGGCAGCTCCAACTTCCAACTTTGCATTAAATCCATAATATTCTTATTTAAAAAAATCACAAAATATGACACACAATAAATAATTTGGATAATGTCAAAAATCAAAAAATCACGAATTATTGAATATTACTAGGGAATGTTTCCAATTTCCTTTTTTAGAGCTAAAAATTTGCAATGTTGTCACTACTGTTTATCGACTAAATCCTTAAGTGTTTAATTTGCTTTAAATGTCATATAAAGGTTTTACGTATATATCAATCATATTTGCTCAAACAAGCAGGATTTTTTTTTCTTGTACAAGCAGCAGCAAAATGTATATTGCCGATGACAGGTGATCACTAAAAAGGCATTCTTCCTACATTTCAGTGACTGCCTAGATACAATTCCAGATTTAATTGACACCATCATTTTTAAATACACATGGAATCTGGATATTTTATAGGCCAATAAAATATAATTTGCCATGCTACATTGCATAGAGAGATGTACAGAATGGCATTTTTTTTTTTGCTTAATTAGGTAAGCTCCTGATGTATAGATAAAATGACTGTAATTTTTATGCCCCACACAGAGCTGTAAGACTAGAGATAATTAGAATTCTCAGAAATGAAACAAATTGTCTTCACTCATTCCATAAATTTGGCATAATATGTAGAAAATGAATTAAGGAAAGGGTCACATGTTCTAGGATTGGATGGATACAAAATGTCAAAAATATTGATAGAAATTTAAGTAAATCTTCATCTTCCAAACAACCTACTATAGTCAATAAATTAGAAATAACTTAATTTTCATTAGTTGAGACTGACAACTATAACATTATTTATATTAAGGCATTAATGACCCTTTAAGGCCATATGTTTTATAAATGTTAGATACGTATATGTTTGTATTGGAGTGATATGTCCCAAAACATTCACAAGAATTAATATCAGATCTTCAGCATTAATTACAGATGATTGTATTGAAAGAAGAATAA